GTGATTATCCTTATTCTAAAAGATTTAGGGAACCTAGATTTATGTACAATAGGAGTAAACCTCAAGGATACCCCTTTAATTTTGGTTGGTTGGTTTGTTGTTTTACGCCGCACTCAGCAACATTTCAGCTATTTGACGGCAGTCTGTAAATAATCGAGTCTGGACCAGACAATCCAGTGATCGATATCAATAGCATAAATACATGTAATTGGGATCGATGACATGCTTCAACCAAGTCAGCGAGCCTGACCACCCGATCCCGTTAGTCGTCTCTTACAACAAGCATAGTCGCCTTTTACGACAGGCATGGGTTGCTGAAGACCTATTCTACCCCGGATCTTCACGGGTCCTTTAATTTTGAACATTGCATCTTTCAATTCTGTGGTGGTCCATGAAACAGCTCAAAATTATGAAATTAACACCAAAGAGTTCGCATTGTATCTAGTCATGGTAGAATGGAGATAAACATACTGTGTTTTCGGTGTAGAGCTTACCTGTAGATTTGACCGCGCTAAATGTATCATTAGAAATCTCATGCGCTGAATATGTATCTCCTCAATGAACTTTCATATCTCGTGACGTTCATACAGTTTGGCCCTCAGTCTATGAAGGTTCATACGCCAACAAACTCACACAAAGTGAAAGTACATTCTTAAATAATGTTTTTAATTTGATAAACGATATACAGCTTTTCCATTGGACGAGAGGATGGTCACATGACCGCGAAGTTTACGTTCATTTAAGGACTGACTGTGTATTTTTTTCGGTTCATTGAGGTATGAATCGAAAAACCGATGGGTAAACTGTATGAATCCGCGTATCGGATTCTTACAAAAATTTGCACATCAGTTGCAAGCTCCGACATTGCAAGCTCCGACGTTCATACAGTTTGACCCTCACTCTATGAAGGTTCATACTCCAATGCACTCACACAAAGTGAAAGTCATTTCTTAAATGAATGTCAATTTCGCGTTCATGTGACCCACCTCTCGTCCAATGGAAAAGCCGTACATGGCGGCGGTCTGTAAATAATCGAGTCAAGACCAGACAATCGAGTGATTGATATCATGAGCATCGATACATGTATATGCATTTACTGCTGGGAGTGCTTATAAGAGGTTAGAATAAGGTGTTGACTTAGCGTTCTGAAGACATATTAGTATCAATTATAGAACTGTGCTCCAAAATGCACCTTACGTCACTAATATAAGGATAACGCTATTTTTCAGGGCATTATCATTTGCAGAAGCCCGAGGTCTTCCATTAACTGCCCGACGAAGGAGGGCAGTTGAAAAGACCGAGGGCTTCTGCAAATGATAATGCCCTGAAAGATAGCGTTACCGTTATTATAGCTAAAATTGATGGAATTTGTTATCAAATAAAAAGAAACAACAATATCGGTTTTGAAACATTTACTGCAATCAACACGAATGTCACTGACCCACTTTAACAAATATTGAAACGTCATAGAACAAACCAGATAACGTAACTATTGAACGTGACGTCACCTATCCCTATCCTATGACGTCACCTAACAACGAGCGTGATAATGGCCCGTCGTCAAGTAATATGAGGGCATTATCAAGTTACAGTGGCCCGCTCATTTCTGATAACATGCGGGCGTTTTTATGATAATTCTATCCATTTTAGCTATAATGAACATCAATATGACATCACCTAATAATGGGCGTGATAATGGCCCGTCGTCATCAACATAAAATTTGTCTGTTATCAAAAATGTGTAGGTGTTTCAATATTTCTACTGGCCTATCAAGCAATATGAGGGCATTTTCAAGTTACAGTGGCCCGCTCATTTCTGATAACATGCGAGCGGTTTAATGACAATTGTTTCCATTTTAGCTATAATACTCATTATCGCGTATCGTTTTCGGGAAGGTAATCTTTGATATACAAATTCGAGACCCCCATAATTTCCGTTACTTAACTCTTACCAGGCATCACCGGGGTAGAATAGGTCTTCAGCAACCTATACTTGCCGTAAAAGGCGGCTGTGCTTGTCGTAAAAGGCGACTAACGGGATCGGGTGGTCAGGCTCACTGACTTGGTTGATGTATGTCATCGATCCCAATTGCGTGGATCGATGTTCATGATGTCAATCACTGGATTGTCTGGTCCAGACTCGATTATTTACAGACTGCCGTCATATAGCTGGAATATTGCTGAGTGCGGCGTTAAACAACAAACAAACAATCTTACCAGGCACAGAAATTTCAAATGGCGTTCGAACATGAAATGGATATGAGAGACGAAAATAATTTAACAAGACATTTGTTTCAGTAAATATTAGATTCAGTTGAATAGATGATTCACTGAACAGTTGGATTCAAACTGGGATGTTCACTGTTCTTTATTGGATTATTAAGTGTTGAGAAATCGGTGGGCAAGCCGAAGTTTTGAATATTATTTTATCGACTGACCGTGGAATAACAGCACTACACATCTCCTAATCCCAGGGATAATGTCACAACGCACAAATCGGCCCTCTCGTCTGCTTCTTGACACACAAAACTGTTGTGTCGTCTGCTCCTTCCAAATACCGTCTGCCCTCTCAGCGAGTCTTGCGATACCTCTTCAGAAATAATCGATATGATCTCTCAGGCCAAAGTCATACCAATTCTTTAGGAATCTAATGAAAAGTCGATTCGGTTATCAGAAATCCAAGCCAAGCGAGGCAAATTTTCTGTAGTGAAAATTCGCTCGGAGTTTTGGTCACGATCGCAGACCAAGATGAACCCTTTTCAAATTTGTTAGTATTCACGAGCGCGTTTGCCTAGTTTGCTCGCCAGGCTAAAATGTCGATAGCTGAAACCCTGCCCTCTCACACACGGGCCTAATGCTGAGACATATTGCTTCGGAACGTAACAGGCGATCACAAACCAGCGCCATTGGTGATCCATCAAATCGAACCTCCTCTTGTTCCAACTGATCGCGGGGATGGTTTATAACCATCTGAAGACACTAACGGCAAACTAATTGTCCCCCTGCCCCGACACACATAACTCAACCGATAGTTAATGTCAGATTTTCTCCAGCTAGGGAACTCGTGTTATTAAAACAATATTTGTTTCTGGGAATGGGAACGTTGAATTGCCCCATGTCGTAATAACTTTACTTATTGGTAAATATACTACTCAAAAGAAATCAAAGAACACCCGATTTTTTAAATATATAATTAATCTGTCATGGCTGATGGTCATTGATGTAAGTGTGTTTTTGTTCATCCCAAATTTATTCCGACCCGGAAAAAATATTAATGAAAAAATACATGGTTGCAACACACATCCTTCCAAGTGAGGGTGTTCTTTAAGTTATTTTGAGTAGTATACATCGACGCAAGACACACTGAATGCGATGACAGAGAGCAAATAGGTATATTCAGTGCCCTATGATTTAGAGGCAAAAGCACTCTGGCCCATGTCAGAGCGACCCGTCCGAGCTTATGGAAAATTGGATGGGAGGGAATGTCATGAATTACTTCGGATGTTCAGCTAACCCCAGTTCACAGTCAACGCCAAGCCATGATAGCACATACCTGAATACACGCTCGTTGGAAGGGTTTACAATACGCAGCACCTAATAAGTAGTGAGAGAGTATGGTTTTACGCCGCATTTAGCAATATTCCAGCAATATCACGGCGGGGGACACTAGAAATAGGCTTCACACATTGTACCCATGTGGGGAATCGAACCCGGGATTTCGGCGTGACGAGCGAACGCTTTAACCACTAGGCTACCCGACCGCCCCGTATCACCTGGTGTGTACGGCTATACCTATAACACAAGTCTGCATATACTACAAAGTTGATCATCATCCACGATTGCATAAAATAACGGCCATTCACAAATGATATTTTCCATGTACCCGTGAAGATCCGGGGTAGAATTGGTCTTCAGCAACCAATGCCTGCCGTAAAAGGCGACTATTCTTGTCGAAAGATATCTTAAGGGATCGGGTGGTCAGGCTCGCTGACTTGGTTGATGCATGTGATCGTATTCCAGTTGCGTTGATCGATGCTCGTGATGTCAATCACTGGATTGACTTGTGCAGACTCCATTATTTACAGACCGCCGTCATATAGCTGGAATATTGCTGAGTGGGGCGTTAAACATCAAACAAACAAAACAAAGAAAACACAAGCCTCCAAACAGACGTAACATTGCCAAAGTAGGTATACTCTTTACTCAGATTGTTGATAACGCCGCACAAAATACCAGCTGTGTGACAGCGGTCAGAAAGTCATCGAGTCTGGAACTGACAAACCAGTGAATGAAATAATGAGCAACGTCTCCGAACCTGACCACCCGATCCAGTTATTCCCTACGACAATCAAAGTATACGGGTGTCCTCTTATAAGCCGGAATCCAACGGGGACCATATGCTGTTTGTTTGTTGTTTTACGTCACACTCAGAAATATTCCAGCTATTATGGCGGTGGTCTGTAAATAATCGAAGCTGGGCTAGACAATCCAGTGATTGACATCATGAACACCGATCTACGTAATTGGGATACAATGACATGCATCAACCAAGTCAGCGAACCTGACTACCCGATCCCGTTAGTCGCCTCTTCCGACAAGCATGGGTTGCTGAAGAACAATTCTACCCCGGATCTTTAGTGGTCGGCGGGAGCATATGTAATAGATCTAAGCTTAAGGATGTTGGACGTGACACTGTTACAGCATGCATGTGTTTGATTTAATATTCACTACGACAGTACATGTCAGATTAATTAACGTAAAACCCATCCATGGCAATTGGCGTTAAACTAAACTCACAGAATGAATGGCGCTGAGAGCCCATTTGATGATAAACATGCTGGAATAGGGCATTAGAAGGTTTTCGTATAACCTTCAACATGGATATATACCATCACTGTCAGCAGCGCAGTGCTGGTGTGCCCGAGCAGTTCCCAATGACGTTTGCGCTGCTGTGATTGGCTAGTTATTTTTAACAATCTGCGACTCTTCATCCAGACGAAATGACTTACATGATGAAAGCGAAGTTACAATAACTGCGGTGAAGTTCCCCCGAGTCTTTGTAAACGTTCAGAACCAACGATGACGTAAATCCAGCTTTATGAAAACACCATTAGATGGACGGAAGATGGAAACACCAAGCCTAAGGTCTACAGGTAAACGAAACTGTTCGTAAACAAAGCAGGTATTCCAGTAATATGCACATGATGTGTAACAACATCCCGTTATACGGTGCTCTTCAAGAAACACGCGAACAGCCATGTGATTGACCCTCAAGAGGTCATGTTAAGATTTTAGTTTGCCAAATTTGACCAAGTTTTTGGCACGTGGGTGCCACATGTCCATATGTACTGATTTGGGTGTATTTGATGTTGAACAGGCGGCATGGGTCAGTGTGTTGTGTTTGACCAACCATAAAGTAGACTGTATATGTTTGAATGGTAGATCTGGGGTAGAATAGGTTTTCAACAACCCATGCTTGCCGTAAAAGGCGACTATGCTTGTTGTTAGAGGCGACTAACGGGATCGGGTGGTCAGGCTCGCTGACTTGGTTGATAATGTCATCGATCCCAATTGCATGGATCGATGCTAATGATGTCAATCACTGATTGTCTGGTCCAGACTCAATTATTTACAGACCGCCGTCATGTAGCTGAAATATTGCTGTGCGGCTTTAAACAACAAACAAACAAACAAATAAAACTTCGCCTCGCCCTCACCTATTGTTCTAAGGTACAAATGCAGTGGTTGAGGGTGACACAATAGGGGTATTAGCTTGAGTCTAACTCAGATACCTTAGTATTCCAGTTATATCACAGGGTGTCAGCTTAATGTGGGAGGAAAGCCCGAAGTGATGCAGATCTCAGACGTTTACCACTTCGGTGAAACCCACGAGCACGGGTATGGTGCTGACAAACCTAGAAACATAATCAGGGTGAACGGGGATTCGAACCCACAATCATAGGTTTCTGACGTGCCCAAGGGACGCCACTCTGCACAGCGAATCGCGGCGCCTTAGACAACTGGGCCCCCCGTGTCCCCCGATAATAGTCATGTAAAAAATGGAGAAGGTTCTTGGTAGGAACTCATCCTAGTACAACTTAACAACCTCATCAATCAAAGGTCCTGCAAATCGGTCTTGATCAGACAATCAAATTCCCTACAATTGTCACCTCCATGTCACCAGACAGACACAGGATGTCGATACAAAGGTGATTAACTCTCACAGCTCTCCAGATCTACAACCAATCATAGGTTTCTGGTGTGCCCAAGGGATGCAACTCTGCACAGCGAATCACGGCGCCTTAGACGACTGTGCCTCCTCTGCCCCATTATGATATATTTCACTTTCACATACAGACATTAAATATATATTGTCAGTGCAAGAAAAGAACCAGTCTAGATTATCCACTGAAACAGATTCCATTTGGCAAAAGGCAAACTCGCTGTGAAAATTATATGAAGGGACCACTGAAAATCAGTGATGAGACCAGGTGTTCGCTTATTTTACTTTCATGTAGACGTTACCTTACATATTTCACTTTACACAACATGACATCATTCATATATGATTTTATCAACTCAGTGCATTTAGCAAGAACATGTACTTAATGACACAGGCTACAACGAGAGGTTAAGTGACCATTGACTCTTAATTGCCTTCAAGAACATTCAGGGGGAGGGCACAGTGAGGTTAAATCATTTGAAAATGTGTAGTACCGCACAGTTAAATGGCATCTAACCAATGGATGAGAGAGATGATGAAATAAATATGCAAGGTCAACATGATGTACAACATTGGTATTTAAAACAGTTGTACATCTGTAGTGTAAACTGTATAATGATTAACAAACAGTATTTGGTACAGCTGTACATCTGTAGTGTAAGCTGTATAATGATTAACAAACAGTATTTGGTACAGCTGTACATCTGTAGTGTAAACTGTATAATGATTAACAAACAGTATTTGGTACAGCTGTACATCTGTAGTGTAAACTGTATAATGATTAACAAACAGTATTTGGTACAGCTGTACATCTGTAGTGTAAACTGTATAATGATTAACAAACAGTATTTGGTACAGCTGTACATCTGTAGTGTAAGCTGTATAATGATTAACAAACAGTATTTGGTACAGCTGTACATCTGTAGTGTAAACTGTATAATGATTAACAAACAGTATTTGGTACAGCTGTACATCTGTAGTGTAAACTGTATAATGATTAACAAACAGTATTTGGTACAGCTGTACATCTGTAGTGTAAACTGTATAATGATTAACAAACAGTATTTGGTACAGCTGTACATCTGTAGTGTAAACTGTATAATGATTAACAAACAGTATTTGGTACAGCTGTACATCTGTAGTGTAAACTGTATAATGATTAACAAACAGTATTTGGTACAGCTGTACATCTGTAGTGTAAACTGTATAATGATTAACAAATGTATTTGGTACAGCTGTACATCTGTAGTGTAAGCTGTATAATGATTAACAAACAGTATTTGGTACAGCTGTACATCTGTAGTGTAAACTGTATAATGATTAACAAACAGTATTTGGTACAGCTGTACATCTGTAGTGTAAACTGTATAATGATTAACAAACAGTATTTGGTACAGCTGTACATCTGTAGTGTAAACTGTATAATGATTAACAAATGTATTTGGTACAGCTGTACATCTGTAGTGTAAGCTGTATAATGATTAACAAACAGTTTTTGGTACAGCTGTACATCTGTAGTGTAAACTGTATAATGATTAACAAACAGTATTTGGTACAGCTGTACATCTGTAGTGTAAACTGTATAATGATTAACAAACAGTATTTGGTACAGCTGTACATCTGTAGTGTAAACTGTATAATGATTAACAAATGTATTTGGTACAGCTGTACATCTGTAGTGTAAGCTGTATAATGATTAACAAACAGTTTTTGGTACAGCTGTACATCTGTAGTGTAAACTGTATAATGATTAACAAACAGTATTTGGTACAGCTGTACATCTGTAGTGTAAACTGTATAATGATTAACAAAAAGTATTTGGTACAGCTGTACATCTGTAGTGTAAACTGTATAATGATTAACAAACAGTATTTGGTACAGCTGTGAAATTATTTTTTCAGTTTTGTACAATATAATTATTTATGGTACCCTGCACTGCTGCAGTGCAGCTCAATCATACAATGTCACAATGTAGTACAATCATACATCACAATGTTGTACAATCATACAATGTAGTACAATTATAAAATGTCACAATGAAGTACAATCATACATCACAATGTTGTACAATCATACAATGTCACCATGTAGTACAATCATACAATGTCACAATGTAGTACAATCATACAATGTAGTACGATCATACAGTGTCACAATGTTGTACAATCATACAATGTAGTACGATCATACAGTGTCACAATGTAGTATAATCATACAATGTCACAATGTAGTACAATCATACAATGTCACAATGTAGTACAATCATACAATGTCACCATGTAGTACAATCATGCAATGCCACAATGTAGTACACTCATACAATGTCACAATGTAGTACAATCATACAATGTAGCTCAATCATACAATGTCACAATGTACAATCATACAATGTAGTACAACCATACAGTATCACAATGTAGTACAATCATACAGTGTCACAATGTTGTACAATCATACAATGTCACAATGTAGTACAATCATAAAATGTCACAATGTAGTACAATCATACTATGTCACAATGTTTTACGATCATACATCACAATGTGGTACAATAATACAATGTAGTACAATCATACATTGTCACAATGTAGTACAATCATACAATGTCACAATGTTGTACAATCATACTATGTCACAATGTTGTACAATCATACAATGTCACAATGTAGTACAATCATACTATATCACAATGTTTTACGATCATACATCACAATGTGGTACAATAATTCAATGTAGTACAATCATACAATGCCCCAATGAAGTACAATCATAATTGTAGTACAATCATACAGTGTCACAATGTAGTACAATCATACAATGTCACAATGAAGTACAATCATACAATGTCACAATGAAGTACAATCATACTATGCCAAAATGTTGTACAATCATACACCACAATGTTGTACAATCATACAATGTAGTACAATCATACTATGCCAAAATGTAGTACAATCATCAAATGCCATATGTAGTACAATCATACAGTGTTAAACAGCCACTATTCTGTAGATGCTGTTTGCGCTGATTTGGCTAATCTGGTTCTTTCATTAATTCTGAAGAGTGACCTCAAATAGGAGACACTGGCATGTTTGTGAATGTTTTTTCGCATGTAGCCATTTTTATCATATAATGGGTAGGTGTCTCGGCAGGATAAAGCCAACGGATAAAAACGATATCCGTTGGGGTCATATGCGGATAGAGATACAAATATCAAAGGTCAAGTAGGGACTACTTTCAGTGTTTATAAACAAACATGGCGTCACGCTTGTCATTCGGCGATCAAGTCAGAATTAACCATTGTGAATCTGGATAAACTACAGGGATAATTGCTACAATTATAAAAAAAACAGTCTTATACACTGAAAATCAGTGTCGAACTGCGACGTAACTAAGGCATTTAATAAGTTTTGGAAACTTTGGAGATAAAAATTTCAAAACAATTTTGCGAGTGCACTAGGCCTAGCCAAGCGGGATCAGTAGCCATAACTGTGCTTGTAGACCTCTGCGGTTTGAAACCTTTTCGACAAATAAAAATAGTTGGATTTAGGCGAAATATGTATGAATTGTTACCTTGTTTCGTTTTGTCGCTGTGTGTACATCTGACTACACTTCTTAACGTTATGACAGAACAGGCCGACTGTCAATAACGTCTGAACGTGGCCGTGACGTCTCATAGACTAGGGTTAGAGTAGCTTCCCTTTGACAAAGGGCAGTTACTCTAGCTGACAGATCGATGGATTGCCGCGAAAGGCAAGTAAAAACAATTGTTGGTTTGCGTATATGTTGCTTCACCACTGTATAAGAAACAGATTTTAGTTGGAACTATATTGGCTACTGTCACTGTCCGACTGACACATCACTTACCCTATGATGTGATAAATATTAATGCGTGCATTCCAGGAAAACTCGCAATGTTTAGGTAATGTTTGTGAGAGGGAAAGCGATTTTCACACACAGAATTATAAAATGACATCTTATGATAAAGAGGTTATCACGCCTGTGTGTTTGGGGATGGTAAATATCCTGTATTAGGAATAATCACTATGTATTTAGCTCGCCAAGGCTCGCTAAATACAATGTATATTCAGAATGCAGGATATTTTCCAACCCCAAACACACTCGTGTGATAACCTCTATTTATCCACTGCTTTTTGTAATGTAAAAATGTAAATAAGACATTGTTCTTACCATCAGTGTTCAGAAATGTGTCCACTCATCTAAGACGCTGCATTTCGCTGTTCACTGTGCAGAGTTGCGTCCCTTTGGGATGCAAGAAACCTTTGATCATGGGTTCGAATTCCAGTTCACCCTGATTATATTTCTAGGTTTGTCAGCACCATACCCCTGCTCGTGGGTTTCACCGAAGTGGTAAACGTGCATGACTTCTGGCTTTCCTCCAACATGAAGTTATGCCGTGATATAAGTGGAATACTGTTCAAAGCAGCATTAAACCCAACTGACTCTCTCAGAAATGTGTAGGGAGGTTTCCTTGAAGTCTGTTTCCATTGTCTTTCCAGATGGATGTCAAGTCTCTCATCCCAATTGGTTGTCAAGGTGCCCAAAGGTGATGAGAGGGCAGTGACGGACTGGTGGATCCATCCCATCCCCAGCTGATTGTCTTGAGGAGATCCAGAGGCTGTTAGCTCTGCTGTGATTGGTTACCCGGGTGTGAATATCACAGCTTCCTGTTCTGCCTTGAACTGCCAACCATGGACATGGAGGATTGTACCGAAAGTGACCTTTATAATGCTATGAACTCAAATGACCTTGAGACACTTCGTGACCTTTTGGCAGGGGGAGGGAATGTGGATGAGTTTTATTACAACTTCACAACCAATGATGGCGTTTCATTGCTGCATCTCGCATGCGAGAAAGGCAGGTTTGACTGTGTCAGGCTCATTGTTGAGTGTAATGTCACAATGAATGTGGCAGATCGATGTGGTCGGACACCATTAATGTATGCCCTGGCTGCACAGAAGACTGATGTTGCTGAGATCTTGCTTAAGAAGGACCAGGACCTTGTAAACGACGAAGATGTCGATGGATACACTGCCCTTGACCTTGCAGCCATTGATGGCAACACTGAAGGGATACGACTACTCACCCAATATGGTGCAAACGTAAATCACCGCACATTTGACGGAGTTACGCCAATGATGCGGTGTATCAAAGAAGGAATGATGAAAAATCCCTCGCCTGTTTTGTGGGCACTCATTGAAGGCGGTGCAGATGTTAATATCAAGGATAAGAAATGTCGGAGGTCAGCATTGCAGGTGAGGTGATAAGTTAACTTTCATAAATGAAAAATGTTTATAGTATGGCTTGACCAGTTATAATTCTTGTCATAAACTACAACAATTAATATGACACGCTGACTTGGGTGTCAAATCCATCAACACTGCCTATGATTGTGGGTTTAGAATCCCGATTCTCCCCGATTATGTTTCTAGGCTTGTCAGCACTATACCCGTGCTCGTGGGTTTCACCGAAGTGGTAAACATATAAGATCTGCATCACTTCGGGCTTTCCTCCCACATTAAGCTGACAAGCCGTGATATACCGTATTCGACGTAATAAGCGCCCCGCTCTAATAAGCGCCCACGGCGATATTTGCTAATATATTGGCTAGTGAACAATCCCAATCAGCACCCCTTCCGATTGATCAATGTACGCAAGACTTATTTATTCGCGCATATTACGCACTCGTGTGTTATATCACCCTTAATTATGGGCAATTAAATTCTTGAAAAATATATCTGTCGTATATAAACATTTCAGGATGTTTGCATAAACCACGAAATTTACGATCTTTCAACTCAAAATAATATTCTAATAAGCGCCCCCTATTTCTAATTTTGAGAGCGCCCTGGGCGCTTATTACGTCGAATACGGTAACTGGAATACATGTACTGTTCAAACAGCGTTAAAACCCAACTCACTTACTCTAGAATGAGTGAGTGAGTATGGTTTTACGCCGCTTTTAGCAATATTCCAGCAATATCACGGAGGGGGACACCAGAAATGGGCTTCACACATTGTACCCATGTTGGGAATCAAACCCGGGTCTTCGGCGTGACGAGCGAACGCTTTAACCAGTTGGCTACCCGACCGCCCCACTCTCTCTAGATACCAAGGATCTAGTATCAATGTTTGCAACAGTATGACAATGTCTTCTTATGTCCTTCAGATGGCCACACTAAAGAAGAGTGTCTCCGCTGTTGAGGTTCTTCTGGCAGCCGGCGCCGACATGTATTCCTTGGACTGTGGCGCCAAAACACCTCTCACCAACATGATGTTACAACATGTACGCATGAGAAATGGCGCCATGTTCGTTCACGAGGATGTGTGGATGATTCTGCTGCTGATGGTGCATGCTGGGATAGATTATAACCACAGCGTATGTGAGGATGCGGACCCCATGCTGACAGCGGCCCTCCTGAAGGCGGAATGTCTGACCCGATTCTTTTTGTCCAATGGTGCTGATCCAGATATACAAAGTTAGTAGCTTGATTTTAGTTTTGATTCTACAATTGCCCGGCGGCACGGGTGGCCAAGTCGCCCAAGGCGCCGTGATTCGCTGTGCAGAGTTGCATCCCTTGGGCACATCAGAAACCTATGATTGTGGGTTTGAATCCCGGTTCGCCCCGATTATGTTTCTAGGTTTGTCAGCACCATACCCGTGCTCGTGGGTTTCACCGAAGTGGTAAACGTCTGAGACCTGCATCATTTCGGGCTTTCCTCCCACATCAAGCTGACACGCCGTGATATAACTGGATACTGTTAAAAGCGGCGTTAAACCCAACTCACTCACTCACTCACTCTACAATTGCCCCTGGTCACAGTGGAAAAATTGTTTTTCGTTACAGTTGAACATTTATTTTGGGGGGAATGAGAAGTCCCAAAAGTTATTTGAAGTTAAAATTATGAAACTTATTTCTTACAAAACATGATTCTTTTATTAGATTTTAATTCCATATCTGTGACATTTGTACGGAAGCCTTTTAGGGCCATTTGTTTTTTTTGGGTTTTCGTGAAATTTCAAGATACATACTAACTTATGATCTTGAAATTTCAAGTTAATAAGTTGAAATTTCAAGTAAATATCTTGAAATTTCAACTTATCTTGAAATTTTGAGATAATGAGTTGAAATTTTAATTTATAATCTCAAAATTCAACTTTTTATTTAGAAATTTCAAGATTCTTATCTTGAAATTTCAACTTTGTATGTATCTTGAAATTTCAACATAACATCTTGAAATTTCAAGAAAAATACCCCCTAAAAAATGCCCCTAAAAGGTTTCCGTACATTTGTGATCTGTGGATCTATAGACACTGTAATGTTTATCATGTGTTGCCCATAGTAAACATCTCCCCAGAAACTACCAGACCCAGGAAACTGAAACTCCACATGTTCCCACCAATGATGATATCCCAATTTTTTCTGGAGGTTCAAATCCGATTTTCAATATGTCCGCCACCTATTAATGCTATTATTCAGCCATTTGTTTTAAGAATGTAATGCAGCAGTTATTGTTGCTGCAAATCACTTTGCAGGCAAGAAACCTACTGTTTGGAAATTAAATCAACAAATATTGCCGTTGTTGTTGGTCAATGACTGGACAGATCATCTGATCATGCAGCAACTGTCTGAAATTATTTCAAATACAGATATGTTCCATTTTCAGACAAAGAAGGATGAACATGTTTCTTCACATCTTCCCGAGGCAAGGGAGTTAACTCTGTAAAAGTCTAGTTTCCACCCTTGCCCAACTACACTGGAATTTCTGGGCTTGATCGTAGCCCCACCAGTGGCTATTACGAGTTATGTCCCTTTTATGCCTCTCCTATTGACCAATCAGATGTCACTTGCATTTGCCTCAAACAAAATGGCGGTGGTCAGTCAGGACAATCTGATCAATAATCAAGATCTTGTAATCAAACGGGTCTTACCCCGCAAAGTGCATCATATCACCTTAGCACCTTGACTAAAAACATGAATAGATTTGGCAGTACACAAGCTTTGCAAGTCCTGCAGTCGACCGAAATCTGCTTGGTATTTTACTAACCGGATGTTGATTTCATAATGCGATTTTGATTGGACAATGCATGGACTCTTTGTCCAGCCAAAATATAACTCCATAATACCAGGCTAGTTTGGCAAGGATGGAAACTGGGTTTTTATAGTCAGATAGCTCCCTTGCCTCAAGAAGATGGTTTCCTTTTGGATTACAAGATACTCAGAACAAATTCTTGCAATCTCAATAAAATCAGATCTTAGTTCTCGCTACCGCTAAACAAAGATCTGAGGACATCCCATTACGGGTCACGTCAGACCGACCTTGCGCGAACTTTGACCGACCAATGGAATGACCAATCAGAAGGCAGCTTTACCGCACAAATTTCAAATTGGCGACTACACTTCGAAACATATTTTGACAAATTCTCGATTACAAATTTGAAACCTGAACAAAAAATGTAAGGTCGTTCTGACGGGACCCCTAATAGGATGTCTTTAGATCTTTGTTTAGCGGTAGCGAGAACTAAGGTCTGATTTTAATGAGATTGAAATTCTTGTTTCAGCTGTCCTAGGTGTTTCACCTCTGCTAAAGGCAACAAGCAAAAATGACTTTCCGACCGTGAAGACCCTGATTGAGTGGAACTGCAAGCTTGGTCTACGAGGACAGTTCTACTGGAGGCGAGATGATTTTGAGTACACAGTCGATCCCTATGAACTTGCGATAATGGTGGGCAACCTTGACATTGCTCGGTTCTTGGTTGAAGCTGGATATCAGAACTATCAGAAGCCCTATCTTTTTGACAAGGCTCCACTACCGCAGTCATTGCAGAACAATCCAGACATGTTGGAATGGCTGAAAAACAAATGTTCTTATCCCGAAGATCTGACCACTCTGGCTGTGTATGCTGTGAGACGTTGCATGGGGCGGGACATTGTGTCAGGGGTGAGGGACTTACCTCTGCCCCCCAAATTGATGAGAATGGTCGTCCTGAAGGATTTTCTTGAGCTGGATGTAGAATATTGATGTGATTTTTGTGTATTTGGAGGAAAAGATGAAGAGAAAACTGTCATCACCTCTGCCACCCAAATTGAGGAGAATGGTGGTCCTGAAGGATCTTCTTGAGCTGGATGTAGAATATTGATGTCTTTTGTGTATTTGGAGGAAAAGATGAAGAGAAAACTGTCATCAACTCTGCCACCCAAATTGAGGAGAATGGTCGTCCTGAAGGATTTTCTTGAGCTGGATGTAGAATATTGATGTGATTTTTGTGTATTTGGAGGAAAAGATGAAGAGAAAACTGTCATCACCTCTGCCACCCAAATTGAGGAGAATGGTGGTCCTGAAGGATCTTCTTGAGCTGGATGTAGAATATTGATGTCTTTTGTGTATTTGGAGGAAAAGATGAAGAGAAAACTGTCATCACCTCTGCCACCCAAATTGAGGAGAATGGTGGTCCTGAAGGATCTTCTTGAGCTGGATGTAGAATATTGATGTCTTTTGTGTATTTGGAGGAAAAGATGAAGAGAAAACTGTCATCAAATCTGCCACCCAAATTGAGGAGAATGGTGGTCCTGAAGGATCTTCTTGAGCTGGATGTAGAATATTGATGTCTTTTGTGTATTTGGAGGAAAAGATGAAGAGAAAACTGTCATCACCTCTGCCACCCAAATTGAGGAGAATGGTGGTCCTGAAGGATCTTCTTGAGCTGGATGTAGAATATTGATGTCTTTTGTGTATTTGGAGGAAAAGACGAAGAAAAACTGTCATCACCTCTGCCACCCAAATTGAGGAGAATGGTGGTCCTGAAGGATCTTCTTGAGCTGGATGTAGAATATTGATGTCTTTTGTGTATTTGGAGGAAAAGATGAAGAGAAAACTGTCATCACCTCTGCCACCCAAATTGAGGAGAATGGTGGTCCTGAAGGATCTTCTTGAGCTGGATGTAGAATATTGATGTCTTTTGTGTATTTGGAGGAAAAGACGAAGAAAAACTGTCATCACCTCTGCCACCCAAATTGAGGAGAATGGTGGTCCTGAAGGATCTTCTTGAGCTGGATGTAGAATATTGATGTCCTTTGTGTATTTGGAGGAAAAGACGAAGAAAAACTGTCATCACCTCTGCCACCCAAATTGAGGAGAATGGTGGTCCTGAAGGATCTTCTTGAGCTGGATGTAGAATATTGATGTCCTTTGTGTATTTGGAGGAAAAGACGAAGAAAAACTGTCATCACCTCTGCCACCCAAATTGAGGAGAATGGTGGTCCTGAAGGATCTTCTTGAGCTGGATGTAGAATATTGATGTGATTTTTGTGTATTTGGAGGAAAAGACGAAGAGAAAACTGTCATCACCTCTGCCACCCAAATTGAGGAGAATAGTGGTCCTGAAGGATCTTCTTGAGCTGGATGTGATATTGGTGTGATTTTTGTGTATGTGGAGGAAAAGACGAAAGAAAAACTGTCATCACCTCTGCCAACCAAATTGAGGAGAATGGTGGTCCTGAAGGATCTTCTTGAGCTGGATGTGATATTAGTGTGATTTTTGTGTAATTGGAGGAAAAGATGAAGAGAAAACTGTCATCACCTCTGCCACCCAAATTGAGGAGAATGGGGGTCCTGAAGGATTTTCTTGAGCTGGATGTAGAATTTTGATTTTTGTGTATTTGGAGGAGAAGACGAGGGGAAAATACTGACCTTACCTCTGCCCTAGAATATATTGGACTGGATGTAAAATATTCATGTGATTTCTCTGGCTCTCTGAAGAATGACAGGTGCTTACCACAGCAACCAGTACTTGATGTAGAATATTTATGTGTTTTTATTGTTACTCAGAGGAAAAGACACAGAAAAATATGCCTTTCTGTTCCTCCGAGGAAGAGAGTCACCCCCTTGCTAATACAACCTGAACAGTGATGATTGTGGAATCTGGATGTGTTCTCAGAAGGAAGGTCAAGGTCAGATTCTGATGTCACCAAAAATGCTGAGGATGATGGGAGTACAAATTACAATGTATGGATAATCTTGGGATAGATGTCATCCTCAGTTATCCAGTGTGTTATATTTCCTTTCTATTATGATGGGGCGGTCGGGTAGCCTAGTGGTTAAAGCGTTCGCTTGTCACGCTGAAGACCCGGGTTCGATTCCCGACATGGGTGCAATGTGTGAAGCCCATTTCTGGTGTCCCCCGCTGTGATATTGCTGGAATATTGCTAAAAGCGGCATAAAACCATACTCACTCACTCACTCACTTTCTATTATGATGTATGCTCTGGAGACGTTCGTCACAATGCCTTTGTCTCAAGTGTTGTGGAATGACACCATACTAGGTATGGAAGCCTAATCATATAACCATGTACTTTCATGATTGAAAGAGAAATAATTGTACCAGTATTGGACTTGGGGATGGGTCATTTATTATTGGGGTGGTTGGATCAAAGGCAATCAGGGGAGGCTCACCAAAATATATGACTGTGGCAGGGGAGTGTCATTAAAACATTCACATACTTGAGCAGGGTCATGAAAAAATGGACATTTTATAGTAAAATATTAAGTGCTTTTACATTTTCTTTTAGGGGAGGGTGATGAAAATATGGACATTTTATAATAAAATATTAAGTGCTTTTACATTTTGTCTTGTCGGGGGGAGGGCATGAAAAAATGGACATTTTATAATGAAATATTAAGTGCTTTTACATTTTGTCTTTTAGGGGAACGTCATGAAAATATGGACACTTTATAATGAAATATTAAGTGCTTTTACATTTTGTCTTTTAGGGGAACGTCATGAAAATATGGACATTTTATAATGAAATATTAAGTGCTTTTACATTTTGTCTTGTCTGAAAAAAATAATAGAAGGACATGGGGAGGGTTACCCCAAAAATATGACAAGCATTCGGGGAGGGTCATTATTTTCAGTACATTATAGTATCAAAGACCTCTGATCCACCCGGTTCCTTAACTTCTGAGACCGCCTCCGAGGTCTAGCGGTAGAGCGTCCGCCTGGAGAGCGGAAGGTCCGGGGTTCGGTCCCCGGCCGCGTCATTCCAAAAGACGTTAAAAGATGGTACTTGTTGTTACCCTGTCTGGCGCTTGGCATTAAGGGGCTAAAACAAGGACTGGTTGGCTCGGAGTCAGTATACTGTGTCTGAGTGGGATATTCATGTTGAACTGCGGCATGGTATCTCAGTGGGCTAGCACTATAAATCGGCATCAGTCCGGACTAGTACAAGCAGCCACACAAACACACACACGTACATGCACGTCGCTATATAAGTACAATAATCTTGGACGCGAAGTTAAACCCAATTTCACCTCGCCTTAGCTTCTGCATAATGTCTTGAATACTTCCCTTCCTGGAATAGTACTAAGGAAAACATCTTTCCAGCTAAAGGTTAATTTATAAGTTCTAATGTCATTCAGTATAATGTAGGCAGGCAATGGTGTATGTAGATCCATGATGAACTTTCAGAGGAGGCATTGGTTATTATTTCAAGGTCATGAGTGCGAGAAAATATGCTTTGTTCAGTTAAAATAGAGTTAAGCAGATGGTGTCACATCCGAAACAAAGCTACGGTGGTGTATGGGTCTGGGTTGTTATCATCATGGTATTAATTACTCTTGACAAGGTCAATATACGAAAACAAGGACCCGAGGACCGGACCTCTGAGGTGGTCTGCCCGGACCTTGTCAAGAGTAAACATTTGTTTTGTTATGAATACACAATGCCATTTAGAAAGTGGTTAAATGTAACAAATGTTATATTTGGGATAACACTTCCTTAGTAAAATATAGATTCTCGTACTAGTACACCACGTACATACACAATGTAACAAATGTTATATTTGGGATAACACTTCCTTAGTAAAGTACAGATTCTCGTACTAGTACGAGAATCTGTACTTTACTAAGGAAGTGTTATCCCAAATATAACATTTGTTACATTTGTTTTGTTATTCCAAAATTCACTTTAATGGTTATGAAGTCTTAAAACTGTCCTCTGTTTCCTTAAAGTAACTTAGCTGCAAACCTTAAAATGTGTGTCCCAGACGCCATCTTGTTTTCTAGCAGACGAGTCAATATTCATCACATGACAGGTCAATACTGATCATGTGACGAGTCAATATTCGAGGTCAGTGTCAACCACATGATTTCAGGGTCTACATTGAAATGTATCGTTTTCATCACATGGTGCAGATTAAACAATGGAATTGCAAGATTCCGAATAGAATTGAGATTTAAGACACTGGATGTTTGAGGATTGATGAAAGTAGATTCTAGCAGTGTCAGCTTGTCCTGAAGTGGACATTGTTAACCTTCTCAAAACTGAGTAGGACAGAGATTCTGAAGGATCTTTTTGGCTCTGATGTTGAATATTGATGTGCTTTTATGTCCTCACGAGAAAGATGTTTGGATAAGTCCTTACCACATCAAAAAGAAAGGCAAATCACAGCTCTGATAGAACCACTCAGGTTAAACGTAGAATACAGTGCTATTGACAAATACCGTATTCAACGTAATAAGCACCCAGGACGCTCTCAAAATTAGAAATAGGGGCCGCATATTGGAATATTTTTCTGAGTTGAAAGATCGTAAATTTCGTGGTTTCTGCTAACAGCCTGAAATGTTTACATACGACAGATATATTTTTCAAGAATTTAATTGCCGATAATTAAGGGTGCATATAACAAACAAGTGCATATTATACACGAATAAATAAGTCTTGTTTACATTGATCAATCTGAAGGGGTACTGATTGGGATTGTTCACTAGCCAATATATTAGCAAATATTGCCGTGGGTGCTTATTAGAGCGGGGCGCTTATTACGTCGAATACGGTACGTCTTGACCTTATCACTGCCATAAAAAATGATTAAACTGATGGACCTGTGGAGAAGTGGAATGATTCACCCTCGATTCTGTGCCAAGGTACAAGTATCATGTAGATACATCATGTATCGATACAAAAGCATACAGTGAAACCTCAATGATCAGACAGTATTGTTCCAAGATAACTGTCCAGATTAACCAAGTTCTGGAATGGCAAATTATGGTTATGGAGCAGGACTGGGATAGATTTAAATTTACTACCCGGGTACCCGACCCTCCCCGGTACCCACTGTATATCTCGAGAGTTGGGTACAAAATGTCTGATTGGAAATTGTGACGTCACCTATCCTATGACGTCACCTAACAAGGGGCATGATAATGGCCGTCGTCAAGCAATATGAGGGCATTATCAAGTTACAGTGGCCCACTGATTTCTGATAACATGCGGGCGGTTTAATGATAATTCTATCCATTTTAGCTATAAAGCAAGTTAACAGCTGTTATCTTATGCTCTATATCCAGATAGACTAAGTCAGGAAAAGTAATAGTTAAATTCCATCATTTTTTCACTATTTTTATTTTGGTTTGTAACTTTTTGCCACAGTTCTGATGATCGCATAACTCAAGATGATAACTACGGTAAGTGGCGCCGTACTAACATACACCCTCACATCATAAACTTTATTTTATCCTGGTCCCCATGCTTTAATATCAGAACAATACCATCTTCCCCAAGCCCCTCACAGAGATATCACGCTCGCGGAGCTCTCTATACCATCGCTGCCACCAGTGAAATCTCCCCACTGTGATAGGTTGCAACAACCATGCTTGGAGTTGAACTCGCAACTGACTGACTGTTTTGTTTACAAACAAATGATGACTGACATGACGCCGAATACACTTTCCCTGCCAAATTATTTCACTCCGAAGACCCGGGTTTGATTACCGACATGGGTACAATGTGTGAAGCCCATTTCTGGTGTCCCTCCCCGTGATATTGCTGGAAAGCGGCGTAAAACCATATTCACTCACTATCAGTTAAGTTATCATGATTCAATGTGGCCACGATGACAGCGAGGTGAGGTTAAATGGGGATTGACCTTGTGTCTAAGATTATAACACTTATATAACGACGTACATGCACGTTTGTGTGTGTGTGTGTGTATGTGTGGGTGGGTGGGTAGGATTGTGGGTATCACGCGTGCGTGCGTGCATGTGTACATGCTTGCTTGTACATGGTGCGGGCTACTGCCGATTATAAAGTGCTAGCACACCGAGATACTATGCTGCAATTTTAAATGGATCCCTCAGTCAGACAGTATACTGTTTTATCCCCTCAGTGAAGAGCGCCAGGCAGGGTAACAACAAGCGGCATAAAACCATACTCACTCACTCACTCCTTCTATGTCCCTCCTATTGACCAGTCAATCTCAACTTCATTAATTACTAAAACAGGTCTTACCTCTTGAAATTTATCAGATCGCTTAAGCACATGAAAAGATGCGGAAACTATTTGTTGACGCCCAGTTGATGGTATACATGCTTTGACAAGAATATGCACGGCAGTCTCTATGTTCTTTATGAACCAGGGCACGGGTGGCCCAGTCGTCTAAGGCGCTGCGATTCTCTGTGCAGAGTTGTGTCCCTTGGGCATGCCAGAAACCTATGATTGTGGGTTCGAATCCCGGTTCATCCCGATTATGTTTCTAGGTTTGTCAGCACCATACCCGTGCTCGTGGGTTTCACCGAACTGGTAAACGTCTGAGACCTGCATCACTTCGGGCTTTCCTCCCACATTAAGCTGACACGCTGTGAAATAACTGGAATACTGTTAAAAGCGGCGTTAAACCCAACTCACTCACTCACTCTTTATGAACCAGATGTCAACTTCGTTACACATTTTTGGTATTGAACAATGCATAGACTTGTTAGGCTAGCCAAAATACAACTTGGAAATTCCAGCCAAGTTCGGCAAGGGTGGAATCTGCACTTAATATAGATGGAAGAATACATGTCTTCTCATTTTATAGATATGTCCCACATATTTTTTTCTTGTGTCAAGTAAAACATTATTTGACCTATTCTACCACGGATCTTCACGGGGAATATGATACACTGGGGTGTAGAGGGGGATCACAAGTGGGTGTCACATGATGGCTCGGTGTCATGATCGGAATAGT